GAAAATTTTGGAAAAATTTGGGGTGGGGGGGGGGGGGGGCGGAAATTAATGCAAAGTATGATTTTTTTAAACCGGGTCTCTAAAAATTGTGGTTCTAAAATATCGCTTAATTTTTTTTTTAAGATCGTTTAGTTGGTTGTTAATGATCGCTTAATTTGTTGTTTAAGATCGTCCAGTTTTTTTTAATGATCGCTTTATTTTTTCTTAAAGATCGGTTAGTTTGTTCATAAAGATCGCCTGGTTTGTTGTTAAAGATCACTTAGTTTGTTGTTAAAGATCGCTTAGATAGTTCTTAAAGAATGCTTAGTTTGTTTTAAAGATCGTTTAGTTTGTTCTTAAATGTCGCTTATTTTGTTGTTAAATATCGTTTCGCTGAGTATTAAATGACCGAAAACCTGAGTCACTTTCGGCGGATGGCCGAAAGTCTAAGTCAATTTCGGCCGAAACCGAAGAAAAACCGAAAGTTAACTTTTCTCTTTCGGTCGAAACCGAAGAAAAACCGAAAATTAACTTTTCTCTTTCGGCCGAAACCGAAATTAAGCCGAAAGTTAACTTTTCAGTTTTAGCCGAAACCGAAACTTGGCCGAAAGTGATAAAATGGCCACTTTCGGTGCCGAAACCGAAGCTGAAGCCGAAATTCGGTCGGTCTCTACTTGTGCATATTATTAACTATCTATATATTACTAGGGATATGTCGTGTAAAATGAAGCAGCTAGTAACAAGTTACCGACAACTCAACTAACCTTAACATTGTTTTTTATTTAATAAGCTATAAAAAAAATAGCTATAAAAATCAACACATTTAAAGCCTAAATACAGTTTGTAAATAATGTAATTACAAATATGTTACAAACTGTATTTAGACTTCAAATGTGTTTTTAATTTTTAAATTACATTAATTTTATACCGGTATTTCTTGTGACAACCCTGTTATGGGGGCACCCTGCTATTGTGAATCCATGTTCTTATGGCCATCTGCTTTCGTGTTACCTTTTTCTTGTATTTAATTGAGATCATATATGTTATATAACTATAGAGGAACTATCAAATTTGTAAAATTCCTTTTGGTGTTATCCCCCTTGAGTATGATACTCATTGCGGTTCGCACTCTCATCATCCCCCACCAGTTACGCAAGTAGTTATTAGCAATGTTACCTTTAAGCTGCGCGGCTGCGCGCCCGCGCAGCAATCTCACAGTAGCCGCGCAGCAGCTTTGAGTACCGTACAGCTAATTTCCACTTAAGTGTGTGTTTGTGTCTGTAGGCTGTAAAATTTTGCGCACAAAAAAATTGATGCTGTAAAAATTTGCACACAACTTTATGATTTTGCACACGAACCAACAAACCTTAGAGGGAACATTTGTTATTAATCGTTATATATATATATATATATATATATATATTTACTTTTAGTAAAAACGTATATATATTTAGGTCTCTATATATTTTCAACCAAAAATTTCTAAACTTAAATAATTTTTAAATGGTAAACAATGCTGCTATTATCTAGATATTATTTTTTACGAGGCCATGGTATCGAAATTTAAATCTTTTCAAATATATGTCAAGCAGCGTTTTATAAGATGAATAACACATTTTAATACATAATATAGTTTAAAAAATTGCACTTCTCATGTTTTTTCATGATTTTTCTTTTTTTAAATATATTTTTAGTATTTATTTTTTGTTGTTGCTTCTTTAAAAAAAATTATTAGAATGCAAGGCCTTTTTTTATGACACAACTTGTTCAACTCTGTGCAACTGTAACAAGAGTAACACAGATTACTGTAACAGTACTACGGGTCAGTGCATATGTAAACCCCAGTGGACATCTCCTGACTGTACAGTAGACAAAGATGAATGTCTGGTAGATCCACTGGCATGTCCCAACTATTCGGACTGTACAAATCTCGAACCAGGCTACCAGTGTGACTGTAAGACGGGACTGGAGAAGAATGCTACAGGACAGTGTATGTGTAAGTTAAAGAGATAAGATAAGATGTGATTAGGTTATTTTATTGATCCAAATAAATGGAATGTGTATTGATTATATTGTACATGCATAGACACAACTGTAATCATTTGAGAACACATTTTCATATAAGATGTTTCACAAAACCCAGCCAAACCTATAGACACATTCCTTGTGTAATGATAATATTGACGATATTTTTATGTAGTTTTTTTACAATTTTTTTATTTAATAATTTTTTTTTAGTTTATATCGTAGATGATTTGATAACTAATTAGTCATTACTTTTGAAATCTTTAGGATTAATCTTTGAAAATGAAAATTTAATAATTATGTTGAAAATATTAAATTGCTAAATTGCTACACAATGAAGATAATCAAAAAGGCATAGGCAACCATCAAGTTATTTAAACATTTAATTTCATGAGAACAACATGGAGCACTACCAAAATGGAGCATGACAAGACAGCATACAAAACATTACGTCACTACACTACAAACAATATGATGTGCAAAACAATGCGTAATTAAAATTCCTTCTCAAAATACTAAATAAAATTGATTCATTGTTTTCACACCAATCATTTCTCTGAGTATCTTGGATCTTTGCTGAGACCAGAGTTTCTTTCAGAAAATAAATTTTACTTTAGATTTTCGGGGGGTAGGGGGCAGTACCAGTGGAAAGAGGCGTAGCTAAGATGGGCATATGGGACATGAGTCCCCGGCGCCAGACTAGCGGGGTCAGCTAATGGGCTATACGGCTATAGTGTTAACGGATGACAATAATGGGTTTCAGAGTTTAGCGAAGGGAGGGGTGGGGGAGTCAAAATGAATCTTGTCCCCTAGCACCAAAGACGTAGAAAAAAAAGGGGGAGGGGCAAAATTATGGCGGAAATCGAGCACCCCGACGGCTTTTCCTAACCAGATAATTTGTGATTGTTTAACAATCAATATGTGCATTTTAGAGTAGGCCCTATACATGATATACTCCAAAAGACTACAAGGTGGATAAAAAAATGAGAACATCTCATAGCAAAGGGTTATTTAATATAATTGAATTGATATAATGTTTTGTCATTTATGGTCACCGAAAATTGTCATGATTATGATATCATTTATTTAAATATAGGTACATAGGAATCAGTAATTGAATACATTTAACAAATTATGGTGATGTAATTATTAAATGACATTGTAAGAGATTTTATCACCTTTTCTGGGTCACCCTGTATTATTGATTAGGGAAAAATAATTTTTCAAGCGTCAGTGGAGACATGATGGCACTCAGTGCCATACATAAACTAAATGCATTTTGTTTGTTGTGCGCCCAAGATAATCATTTGAAACAAGATTAAATTTAACTCCGTTAAGTCACATTGATCGACGTCAAGGAAGGAAATAGCATCAATTGAGGAATCTGAAGAGTCTTGAGAAAAAACTAGGGCAGGGGTCCCCTTAATTTAAAAACAATGAATTTAAAAAGCATTGTGGTGCGAATTCAATGTATCTTTCAGACAATGTGTGAAGGGGCATTTCAGACTTTCATTTATTTACTATTAGATGTCTCGTGGAGAAATGCTAAGATACAACATCAACATACACCAAATATATGTGGACTATAAATCAACTTATGATAGCATATACAGGAAGTACCTGTACGATGCTCACCTGGAACTTGGAGTCCCTAACAAGCTTACCAAACTCATATACATATGACGATGGATAACTCCAAAAATAGAATCAAAGTACAGAGAGAGTACTCGTGGGAGTTCCCAATTAATCAGGGCCTCGGGCTAGGAAATCCATGTATCCTTTTCAACATACGTTAGAAAAAAGCATTAGAAACATACGGCTGAGCACCAGAGAACAACCATAAGGAACTTTATAAAGCTTGCCCCTGCAATACCTGGCTTACACAGACGAAACAGCGCTACTTGGTAGAAGCAGCAATGATATAATACAAGCTATCAGGGAACTTGAAAATGTCACGGTCCAAGCTGGTCTTGATGTAGATAAATAGAAGGCAATATACATGATCATGTCAGGAAATACGCACACTAATGACAACATCAATATGAGCCACCACATCTTTGAGAGAGTATCTACTTTCAAATATCAAGGCAAATAAGCAAAAGGAAATACAATCGGTGGTGAAAGAAAGGAAAATAACATGCAACCATTCTTTTTTAACTTACAAAAGCTTACACTACGAAGCAAAAAAACTATCCAGGGTAACAAAGAGGCGATATGCATCACTATCATAAGACCAGTAGTAACTTAAGCAAGTGAGACTTGGTTCCTACCAACAAAGCAGAGAACCTGCTCAATATATGTCCCAATGATATACAGTTTTGTTTTGGGAATCCGTACAAACCAAAAGCTATATCAATTGTACAAATATCCATCCATTGTCTCAAAAATAAAAAAGGCAGACTGCCCTGGACAGGACACATTGAAAGGATGCCGGATTCTGGAGCAGCAAAAACGATCTACATGCAGAAACCTAGGGGCAGACTGCTCACCGGTCGACCAGACTGAGATGGATTGACGATGTAGAGAAGGTCTTACAAGGGCTGGGGGTTCGTGCATGGAGGCGGAAAGTGATGGATCGATCCAAATGGAAGAATGTGGTGAAGCAGGCCAGGGCCCTACATGGGATTAAGCGCCACTGATGAAGACATTTCAGACTTTGGGTGGGAAGCACTATAAGTAGCCATAATAATAGGACATAGCTAACTCCTCCACCATCCCAATATTAACTAAATTCATTCCAGTTGGGAGCCCTAAGGATATGCTTTTCGTCGAGAGATACTCCCTAGCTTAGACTCGCCCCTTAAAATTTTATAGGCCCCGGAAAATTTTTGATAATTCAAAATGCAAGAATGCATTTTTGTACATAGTTAAATATAGATTTACATCATTATACACTTAACAGGAAAGCAACGGGAGAGATGCTATTTAAAATTTTAGGTGTCCCTTGACCTCGGGGCCCAACGCGTGAGATCTGCAACCCATATAGCTGCATGGGGCCTCGTATATTTTAAGGGTTTAAAGTTGTGCTGTAATTACTTTAAATTATCAACTTTTACTGTTAGGTATGGAAGGAAAAAAACCAAAACGTAACAGGGGTGCCACAAAAGGTCAAGCGACGTGTTTGCTTGATTAAGTGTGTTATACAAATATATATTTTAATTTTATTGAAGATTAATGTGTTTTTTAAGCTTTTATTTAAAATATGTAGGGGTAAAATACATAAACAATAATGGATTTACCAACAATATTTCTAAAATTTTAAAACGATATTTTTTCCAAAAAATGGTATCCATCACAAAAAAGAAATGCTAAAATAGTTTTACATTATGAACGAAAAAAAACAAACACACCCAAAACAAACGCTTATTTCTAAATAGATCCATTACAACTTGTCTCTTCGATATTATACTTTATGACAGATCACCTCTTTCCTTAAACAACTTTCAAATTCATTTGAAGTAAATTCTCCTCTGTTATCGGTGCGTAGGGCCTTAAGATTATTTTCTGTTGACTTCTCAACCATTTCTTTCCATTCAAGAAACACTTAAAGACCCCATCTTTGTGCTTTAGGATAAACTCAAGTATATTGACTGCAATCGTCAATAAAAGTACAGAAATATTGCCCTTCACCAAGTGATGGTGCGCGGACTGTCTTGCATACATCACTTTGAACCCGATCAAGCATCCTATTGCTTACCCTTCAACTTGACGGAAACTTGGTCCTGTGATTTTTTTGCCATAATGACACAGTCTTTGTTAGCCTTTGTCTCAGTGCGATGTGCCTTAAGCTGTCTGTACATCTGTTTGCCTGCTTTTAATGTGTATATTTCTCTTAAAATGATAATATTTGGGGTCCTTTCTTTGCTTTCCTCTCTTTTGACACAAGTGCTCCATTCGGTACTTCTTCACTTCGTTGTGATATATTTCGCTCTTCGTGAAGCAATCGTTCAGTTACAAGTTCCATCTTTGGAAATTCTGAACAAGCCTCAAGAACCGTTACCCACACATTGTAGGAGTTGGGATGGCTAGCAAGTTGGTGAATCACCCTGTCTTCGGCATCTAAGGCATCTCCTACCACTTCAAGCTCGTTGAAAAACTATGTTAGGTTTTAATTTGCTCATGCAGAGAGTCCCCATTATTCATTCTAATCGTAATTAATCTCCTTCTCAGCGCCAGTCTGTTAGCCCATGTCTTCTTTTGAAACTGATCCCTCAGTTTTGCCTAGATAACAACGCCTACAAAATGATAGCCAAAGCTTCATGGCCAGCCGGCATTGAATTGTACAGGTCGAACAAGAGTAATGAACACCGATCCTGAATAAAAACCTTAAATCGAATCAGCAACCGCTTAACACAGGATACAGCTACCTGGGCCCATAACCAGTTGAAAATATTAAATTGCTAAGTTACTTTATAAGGAAGATAATCAAACAAGCATAGACAACCATCAGGGTTAGTTCAACGTTTTATTTCATGAGAACAAAATGGAGCATTACGAACATGGAGCATGACAAGACAGCATAAAAATATGACGTCGCTACACAACAAACAATGTTGTGTGCAAAACAATGCGTAATTCAGTATTTTGTCATTTTCCAATTTCACTTACGTCTAAAAATGTTGTAATGTGATGTCTAAAATGTGTGAAATGCAGGCATTGTATGGAATGCCTAGGCATTATATAGAATGCCTGGCGATTTTAGGCAAAGTATGAAATATTTTATTTTCATGATTAAGTTACATACTTTGCCTAGGCATTTTATACATTGCCTAGGTATTATATATAATGACAAATGTACTTCAGGCAAAGTTTTAAAAGAGTGTAAAGAAAATGTTTTTGTTGGAAAAACATATTTGAAAATGAAAGATAACAATTAAACCGGAAAGCAAAGGTGGCATCGAGCTACTTGTTGCAGCAAGTAAGGATGGAGTGGCATTTTGAATTGCACTTTATTTTATTTTCCCACAAGACACTTCATGTTTTTGCAC